ATTGAGAAAAGGAGGTTTCCTGTAGACGTAACAAGCACCTACCAGTTAGGGCTGTGTGCACAGCTGGATTCTGTTACAAAGTTCCAGGACAATTTCTTCCCAGAGTTAGACCCCTGAGAGGAATAGCTATATTTTTGCTGATTGCAGCAAGGACGCTTCCAAAGCAATCTTTTCCTCTAATAAAGTTATATTTATCTTAACTCAGGCAGTTTCCTCTGATGGGGGTTGACCTATGCTAGTGTTAGCTGCTGAATCTAGTATATTATTTAATAGGCACGTGAGAGCCCTTAATGTAATTTTTTTGAACTCTTCTAGAACTATCGGATCTTCCATCATATCTCCTAAAAGCATTAATAACAATTTTCTTCTTTGAGAACTTCTACCCATGCAGCTTCTTCTCTTCTTTCCCCACATGTTGCTGAACTACCATTCTTAAGAAAAAGGAAGTACTATTAAAAAGAATAAGCAAACAACCTTTTTTATAATTAGATCTCTGAGACCTATGCCGACCCACAGGCTGTTCTAAAATGGCAAACAGGCAGAACATAGAAAGAAAGAAAAATGATGATTTTGAATGTTCCCCTAGATGAGGAAGTATTGGAAATTAGAAAAGAAGCACAGAAAGGAGACCCTCATTTTTGACATGCTAGTTTTCCACGTAGATGTTTAAAATTAAACAATATTATTAACACTACCAGAACCCCCTCCCATACACCCAAGGTGGTAACATAACTCTGTCCTCTTAGGATTCTACTGTCAAGTCAACATAAAAATAATATTAAATTTATTATTAAATTTATATGCTGCCTGACTCCCAGCATGAGTTGACTTGGTCTAAATCTAGAGATCCTTGCTCTTTGGCCCTCCCTGGTGACTGCTTACATACCACTGTGTACAGCAATGACAGGACGGTGATGCTGAGTGAACAGCCGGGGTGAAGTGTCCTGCGGAGATGGGCTGTTGAAGGGAGACTTGTCCATTTCTGTCTTTTTCACAGTTGGGGAGATGCCTGGAGAAGAGTTGAAGGAAGTGGCATGTTATGATGTCATTGAAATACTTGATTGCTGGCATCACTATGCCCTTTAAACTATATTTCTGCTCTGTCTATATAGCTTGGAACTGTCCTTTAACTACAGCAGCCATGCTCTTCAGAGACCTAACCAATGGAAAATGTCACCTTTCCTGAGCCATTAGTCCCGTTTACTGCAGTGCCCTGGTCTTCCCAACTGTAAAATGGGACCAGGTGCCCTTCATGTAATACAGTGCATGTATGTGACTTAGTTCTATCAAGCATGTCTTGTTTTTTGTCACTTGGAGTTATCCTTTTCCATGTCTGTGTGGCTTTTTCCTTATAGCACATTGATGCTGAGCCACTATGTCATTGGGTTGCCAGAGATTGTTCAAGATTTACCAATTTTCCTGCAGAAGTTTTTCTATTTTAATCTGTGACATATTGATGGAAAGGGGTTTTCTCCTAGTTGGTTGTTAGGTGTGTCCTCAAATGTGTGTCTGTCTTTCCCTATAAATATCAAAGGTCTCCATTGTATGTGTGTGTGTCTGTGACAGGATGCAGTTAATCTCCTCTGTTTGATGGCTCAGATTTATCTGGGCCAGTTGGTTTAGTCCATGCCACTAAAAGGTTTAGTCCTTTCTCAGACACTCACTTGGAAGGATTTTACAGAACATCCAGTACAGGATTGAAATTAAACCTCTTCTTGCAAAGCATTTAAAGATATTTCTACTTGGAGAAGGAATAGGTGGGTGTATTCTCTTTTTTAATTGTTTGTCTAAATGCAGGCAAATAATAACCACAAAAATATTGCAATGTTTATTGAACTGATCATTAAGCTAACTGATCAATTCTTTTAAAAAAAACCTTTTATTTTAAGTGAGGAAAAAATAAAATCCTCTAATTAGATAGCAACCTTTTTCTTTTTATAAAAAATCCCACAATTTATAACATCTGCAGGTGGCAAGCATCTTCTCAAATGAGCATTGACCCACTGAAAGAATAGGGTACTTCTCAAATTAGCATCACCAAAAAAATATAGCCTCTCTCATTTTGGCACCTCCAGTGGTGTAGGATTGTAAGTCCTATTTGCTGTCCTGGCTAACAGACTGTGAGCGAATACAAGGCTGAGAAAGCTAATAAGAAGAACGTTGCTACAGAACTTGGGTATCTTCCCATCACTCTCAGTAACACTAAATATTGTCTTGGTACTGTATGAGGATCCTGTAAAACAATGTTCCACTATACACAACTTCCATCAGCTTCAGGGCCTCATCAGCTTTCTGCAGCATGTTAAGGACACCCCAAAAATGGGTTGAGTTAGAGTCCACTGTGGGTGGGGGGGGGAATGGGTGCCTTAAGCATCTGCAAGGCTTACGGTATCAATTTTGTTTGGTTGACACCTATCCTATGCCAAAACGTCCACAAGTTTGGCCCTATCCAATTTTGCACTCCTGCATCTCTGATACAAAGTAAACTAGCATTAAAATAGCTACACTTGCCAGCAGTTTAAGTTACAGAAGGCAGCTTTCCTATGATAAGAGATAAAATTTAGGAGAAAAGATATCTAAATACTAGATAAACTAATTAGGAATCATTGCCTTTTAATAAGTAATACCCCACATCTTCATCAATGAAAATTTTTTCTATAGTTAGTTCAGAACAATGGTGTACCTCTTTCGAGCCTTCGCTTGGCTGAGAACCATGAATAATGTGATTATATTAGGAGACACAGCATTTCCAGAAACCAGGCAGAAGGAGATGCAACTGTTGATAATTGTCCTAACAAACATGGTTATATCTCAAGTGATATTTCTAAAATCGTGGCTTAGCATGTGGATTTGCCCAGTTTGCAAAATTAACCTGCAATTCCTAATAATCAAGCTTGGAATATTAAAAAAGACGTTATGCATCCATAGTTCACATTCTGCATATATCCAGCTCTTTTACCAATATATGCATGTATAGAGTGTCTTAGACCAAAGTCCCTTCCCTAATCAAGCACTCTCCAGATGTGTTGGCACTAGAAGTTCAAAATTCTCCAACCACTGTAGCTAAAGAATGCCAGCTGAGAAATGCCGGGAGTTATAGTCCCAACATTTCTGAAAGGTGCCATGTTTGTGAAAGTTGTTCTATACTCACAGCATAGGTTGTTCTATCCACAGCAAACCACAATGATGTCAAAAGAATGTGTCTGCAGTGCTCTCATCGTACAGATGCTGCCATTACATACTGACATCCCAACATCTGATGCAAATGTATAAGTCGCAGCATTTTTGTGATGATGTCAGGTTTCTTTTGTCATTTCCTCCCTTGGCCCCTGCCCCAGATACCCATGACTCTAAGGTGCTGACATTCGTGTAAAAAGCCCTTAACAGAGTGTTGCCTTTATTATAATCTTTTAGCATGAACATCCACTGAGAGGCCCCTCTTGTAGCCCCACTAGTAGGTCTGTGGCTGGGTGGCAAACAGTAGAAGTGAACCCTTTTTAAAGGTAGCATCAAAAGTACAGCCTCCTTACTGTCTTGTTTTAAATGATATGTGAAGGCATGCTTATTCAGCACGTTCGCTGGCTAGCCATGGACAGGATGGACTTTTGGACTATTTTTTGAAAATGAACTTATCTTGTCTTATTCTGTTTTTATTATCTTGTTTTATGGTAGTTGTATCCTTGTCTATTTCATCTACATAATTGCTTTTAACTGAATCTAGTTTTTATTGTTCTTTGTTATATGCTACCCTGGGAAGAAGCGTAAAAATAAATAATAAAAATGGAACACAAGCAATGTTTCATAAAAACAGAGAACATAAGCAGCGCCCTGCTGGATCAGACCCCTGGCCTGAGTAGTCAACAGTCTGTTCTCACAGTGGCCAACCAACTGCACAGGGAAGCCCACTAGTAGATAGCTTTCAGGGGCAGACCCGCTGCCATCAAGGCTAATTGATCCCCAGCTGTTGATCCCCAGGACTTCCATGAATTGGTCCAATCCTTTTTTAAATCCAGCCAAGCTGGTAAGCAGCATCACATCTCATCAGCAGCATTTTCTCACATCTCAATCAGCATCAGTAAAACATGACATACTGAGAAAAATCTTGAGGTAATCATATGTACAAACATATAAAGATAGCTTTTTTCCTTCTACTATATATATATATGCATATATAACATGGATGCTGAGAAGGGGAAAAACAAATGGAAGTAATTTGTTTAAATTAAATTAGTAATGCTCTGATTCTGGAATTTATTCTAGGTATTTATTTATTTATTTATTTATTTATTTATTTATTTATTTATTTATTTTCAAATTTGTAT